CCGAAGTCCAGACGGAAACATTGGGGAGACCGAGCTTTTTCAGTTCGGGCTCCTATACTGTGGAATGGTCTGCCATGGGAGATTAGATCAGCTCTGAACCTGTCTGTTTTTAAATCACTTCTTAAAACGCATTTGTATTCACGGGCCTTCGACAATTTTATTGATTGATGTATTTGTTTTGACTATGTATTTTTCGTGTTATTTTACTGTATGGATGTGTTTTATCTGGTCTTAGGTATCTTTATTATTATTATTATTTGTTTATGTTTTACTGGAAAGCACCTTGTAACGCAGGTTTAGAAAGGTGCTATATAAATAAACTTTGCTTGCTTGCTAATGAAATGTGCGCATTCTTATATAAACTTTTGTTTTTAAACATAGGATGAAGAAGAAGTTGATCCTTGATGTGGACACAGGGGTGGATGATGCTCAGGGCATCATGTTGGCCCTCGCAGCCCCTAACGTGGAGATTTTGGGGATCACCTGCTCCCATGGCAACACACCCCTGGAAAATGTGCTTAAAAACACACTGCGTGTCCTGAAAGTCTGCGGTAGGCTGGATGTAAGTTTTATGGGAGTCACTGTTAAGGGAGCGCTCAGACATGGGCGTTTCTCACCAGGTCTGACTGCTTGGTTTGAACTTAACTCATTCACGATGCTCCATAAATCACAACCTGTTATACTCTACAGATCCCAGTGTATCGTGGTTCCTCAGATCCTGTGTTGGCCAGGAAAAAACATGCAGGAGATTACCATGGGGTTGACGGGCTGGGTGATGTCCCAGATGGAGATGCTCCAGGTCTGGAGCTACTGCAGAAGGAAAAAGCTGCACAGGCCATGGTCAAGATTGTGAAGCAGAACCCTGGGGAGGTGAGACAAGCACAGCAAGTTTCTATTAATGGAAATGGTGATTTACATTAAACACCACATAAAGTACAGCTGCAGCTCATATTTTCGGTATTTGGTTATTAACCAGATTAGCATGACTGAGATTATGAACTCTAAGGCCCTGTTGGCTGACAACATGACTCATGCTTCAAGTAGCAAGACGGGAAAGTTTCCTTGTTACTGTATGTTAAGAATACACTGAAAACGCACTTGCTTATATAAACTAGTTTCACATGAAGAGCTTTTTTTCTGCTCCACACCTTTAACTGATGTCATAAACAGGTAACTCTAGTGGCCATGGCTCCTCTCACTAACCTGGCTATCGCGGTACAACTGGACCCTTCTCTCCCTAAGAAACTGAAGGCGCTCTACATCATGGGAGGGAACACTCAGTGTAGGTTTTGTGTCATAAATTGTATTTTTATTTCTTTTTTGATTGCTGTACTCCTATGAGTACAAATGCTAAAGAATGTGTGTGTGCAGCCAGGGGAAACACCACATCATGTGGAGAGTTTAACTTTGTGACTGATCCTGAGGCTGCCTACATTGTGTTGGACCGCTACACCTGTCCCACCTACATTGCTGCCTGGGAGTTCACCTGCAAAAACTGCCTGCCATGGGTAAGACTAGAAACAGCTACCGGTACATGTACACCTGTCTGTCTGTTTATTTATAGCAATCTGTTTTTCTCCCTCAGTCTTTCCATGACCAGTGGCTGAGCCACAAAAGTGAGAAGGCTGCCTTCATGAAAAAGATTTCCAATTATAGTGTGGAGGTAGGAGTGCTCACATTGTACAGATACATGGGTAAAAGAAATTTTATGCCATTAGCTGTCAGGTTTTTACGATGTAACATTCGAAACCAAGCATGTTTGCACAAGCAGTTAACAACACTCTCAGGAGGATTATAATAATCCTCCTGAGAGTGTTGTCTTACTGTTCTGCCTCAAGCAAAATACTTTTTCAAGTGCCATTAAAATTGCATTGCCTTGCCTAGAAGTTAAAGGTGGAAACATAAAACCCCACATTCTATATTGTCGCAGCATTGCACCTCTAAAATGTATTTGTTGGAGTTTATGATCTTTCCAAAATTTTTTGAAGTCACCCAATCCCAAAAGTTTGCATTGCACCTACAGAACCTTTTTTTAAAATCCCACTTTAATTAAAACATATAACAAATAAGCCAAAAGAATAATAGTATTTGCAGAGCGTGACTTCAAATATACAAGGTTGCAAATTGGCCATGTTTAGTTTGCTTATGAGTCGGACCTTGGTCTGGTGCTTTCAGTGCAAATGAGCTTCAGTCCCAACATTTCTAAAATCCTCTTCATGATGTTTTTGCAGAAAGCTCGGTCCGAGGGTTATCAAAAGGAGACCACAGAAGGACAAGGGTTCAACGCCTGCGACGCCTATGCTGTAGCTGCAGCAGTTGATGATACACTGATAACAGAGAAAGAAGAGGTATTTCTTTAAAATACAAACTATTTCAATATAAACAAATCTTTTCTATTCAACTTCTATCTTCTTCCTCCAGGTCGCTGTGTCAGTGGAGTTGGGGGGGAACTACACTCGAGGCATGATGGTGCTGGACTACATGGAGCTGCTGAAAAAGCAACACAAGGTCACCATCATGAAGAAAATTGACCTGGAGAAGTTCAAGCAAATGCTAATACGGGCAGTAAAATAGAAAGCTACTGTATCAGGTTGCAACTGGCGCATGAATAAAGTGATGAATGGATGACAAACCTTTATATCATAAATGAAACATCTTATTGCAAAATGTCACTTGGATCTTAAAATAAAACACAAGTAAAGCTGGTTTTTGCAGTGTAGTTTTTTCATGATCAAACATGGACTTCTTTTAATTATTAGAATAATATTAGATTAATATCTGCAACAGATTGTGTATGGAGGCAAAAGGCCTCCATACACAATCTGTTGGTGTCAAATAATCTTTCACATGACATTATAATATTAGTGGTTCTGCACATAACCCCTTACAGTATGTTATAAATGAACACAGACTGAGGACAAGCACATAGAGACAAAAAGCGTTTCTTAGAAACAAAGTAAAACTGAGGCAACTTAATAAAACATTTTATTAAATGTGCACTTTAAGAAAAAAAGAAAATAAGTTTGCATCCCACATTCCTCCATTTTCCTTATTCTCTTCAATAATTAAGGTTGATGTTTCAGTCTTTTCCAAGAAAACAATCAGAAACAAACATCTGTGTTTATATTACAACCTGCCAGAGCACTATTTACAAATCATACAAAAAGAACAAAGTAAAAACTTCTCATCTGCCCCCTTGTTCCTGCAACTGTCCAAACACATCACTGATCACCGATTGTGGAGCTCCAGCTCAACAAAAGAGCCAAACTGAAAATCAACCCAGAGTCGAGCAACAGTCAACCAGCGTCCCAGTTCACTCAGAGTCAACCTCAAGTCTTTCTCAACCAGATGCTGACTGACAACTGGAGATGGATTTGTTGTCACCTACATGTGAGTTAAAAATACATTTGGAGTCAGCCTGGAGGCAATTAGTGCCCCGCCTCAGAGACGAACTGGTTTTACTTGACTCTGTGTTGGTAAAACGAGCAGAGACCCTTAGTGAAGTTCCAGCCCAGAGAGATGGAGAGGACGTAGAGAAAGCCAAGCAGAGCGAAAGGGTACAGCAGCACCACCGTGTTCTTCAGGAAAGGCAGGGCTGTGAGGACAGAGGATGAGGGAGTTACACACAGCAAACACTTTGTGCCAGTAAACTACTGTATACCTCTTGGGAAACAGTGAATGCTTAATGGTGACTTCCTGCTTAACTACTACATGGAAATAAACACAGCAGCCAATAATGGAACTGATTTTTGAACAATTAAATGCACAGAGGACTGACCGCTGTACCCTAAGAAGGTGATGTAGAGATAGTAGCCAATGGCGATCAGCCACAAAGTGTTCCCGACAAAGTATCCCACAAACCAGCTGGAGTTTATCATCACAAAATCTGAAACAACACACACACATCATGTATTAACTCTAACGCAATTAACTCTACTTTAAGGCAGCTGTAATCAAACAGAGCTCATGTTGCCACCTGACTCAGATTCGGTTTTTGTCTTAGTCGTTTTGACAAACACAAACTACACTGAGCCACACTGGATCTCTGTTAGTGCCATTTTTATAGGTGATTGAATAAACTTGACACAACTTCCTCGGATATTTAATTAATGATAATACTAAATGAAAAACAGACAACACAAAAGAAACATTTTACACTCATCTAAGACATAACATGCATAGTTAACTGTACTAAAAAGTTTATTTCCTTGAAGTGAATGATGCAATTTCAGGGACACTGATAAAACTCACACAAACAGACAATCTACTCACGGTTGATGAAGAAGAGCTGCAGAAAATGCAGGATGACTAGAAGTGGGTAGAAAGCATTGAGATGAACATCAAATGCGTAGCCCCATTCAACATCAAAATTTCTGCTGGGCTGTTTTCGTAGGTATTTGTTGACGATCAACCTGGAAAAGACAAAATGAATATTTCACTTACAGTACAGAGCCAAGTGAGTTCCCTGTAGAGTGATGTCTCAGTTACAGTAACAGGAGAAGATGCCATTACTTTCATCCCAACCAGACAGTCTTGCTACTCACCACATGAGTGTTGATATGAGCAGACCGACCCCTATACAATCAACAAAGACCACCCACAGCAGTAGTTTCAGAGTCTCCAGGATCCCCATGTCCAGCACCAGACCAAAGCCTATTGTTGACACTGCAGATCAATATAGGGAGTGTTCAGTTTTCATTGTACAGAGACAATACCAGGATTTGACCAGCAGGCATTAAGAATAAATCTAATGACCCACAATGCAGCAAAGTTTGTTTAAATATAATCAAACTAGGGAGTTTGTACCCGTGATACAGAGGCTGCCTACTGACACCAAGTGTTTACTGACACTGTAAAGTTAAATAAGGAGCTAAGTGAAAGCACGAGGAACAACAGACTCACCACACAGCCAGATGCTGAGCAGAACCAGAAAAGCTGGATCGTCCCTGGCCCACTGGTCCTTGGTCTGTTTCCTGTAGTGAAAATTGCGGTAGACCCTCTGTGGTGACGTGAACAAGTAAAGCATCTGCCACAGGGCAAAATCAAAGTCCATCTGCCTAACATGCAGCAACCGCCGCAGGTACTTGTAGCGTTTGGCACCTGCCGTGTGGCGTGCAGCATCCCTGGGACTGAGGGCACCATTGCTGTGTGGCGATGTGGTCGGCAACATAGTGCTGAAAATTTGATTTCAGGTGTGCAAGGAATAAGGGAGGTAAGGACAGGTGGGGAAAGGATGGAAGATAAAGGAGAGGAAGACAGGTTGAAATGTTCTATTAGAGTGTACTTATTTACTTACATCTGAACAGTTCTAGTATTGTTTTTGATACTTTGTTTTATTCTGAAGATTATCTATAATCGCTCTGTAGATGAAGAGGAATGTAAACAGTGTAATGACAAATAAGAAGCACAATAAATATACTGCTGTATTTACATTGACCAGGACAACAAATCAGTAATGACCTATCATTCCTGGCTCTTGCCCTCAATTTTAAATGTTATTATTGCCACACTGTTTTACCATACATCCCCAGATGCTCTGTACAACTTAACTGGAACAAAGTGAGTTCTGGGATCGAGTGCTACGTGATTATTTGATAAAATTAAGAATGAAGCCGGGATAAAGGGGATAACATTCTGATGAGCTGAAATACATACAATATTACACAGAAAATTGTATTTAAATTGCTTTACTGAACCACGTCTGTCCTGCTAACGCAGAGAGAAGTTGCTGTCAACCTACAGGATGTTTACGACAAGACACAGACAAAGCTTTGTATTAGTATTGACAAAACTGCTCTAAAACAGAGGACGGTACTGTAACATTATGCAAAATTCTTCATATGCAAACCAATTACAGAGGTTACTTACTACGTAATCAGTCTCAACCCATGGATGTATTACTCTCAATATGTCTGTGTTTCTGTCCCACAAACGCTGAATAATTTATTTACCCTCTTCTCTGACGCTGTGCTTGCTAGCAGAGTCAGCTTGTAGCTAACTAGTCTATTGGATGAGAAGGCCTAGTCAGTTTAATTTATAAGACAATTGACATTAACGCAGCAGTGGCTATTAGTAAGCACATAACAAACAAAAATAACTATAGTGAGGAATGTTTACCTCTTTGCAGAACTCCTTGACAAGAGAAAGCACGAAAACCTGCTGGTTTCTGTAGCTGTTTATAGACGCTTCCTGAACTATCGCGAAAACGAACACGTAGTTACTTCCGGTAAACACCCGGTTCATCATGGGAAATGAAGTCGAAGAGGAAATCGAAATTGTCCCACAGTGATGTAAACCTTTTTGTTGCGTTAACTAATACAAATTTAACTAAATTCATAGTTTAATTTTTGGTAGAAAAGTTGCGTGTGAGTGGTTTGCTGAGACGATGACATAAAAAGAAATGTTGCTTTTATTGTGAAATCTGATACTTCGTTACAAACGGAACAAGTGCACCATGTTATTTCCGCAAACTCGTTTGATAGTCACTCACGTCACCGCTGTTCTGGTCTAGAAGGCCAAATAGCAAAAGGTAAGAATCAGAAGCACATTGTGCATGTAACAATGTTTAAATCTGTATGTTGTTTAATTGCAAAAAACACTTAAAAATTAAACGTTTGGCCTTATTATCAGCAGTACCCCTCTAATAACATTGCATTTGTCCTTGAGTAGCACTGTTAGCTTACCCTGTTAGCCTGCATACAATGAATCTTCAGTAAAAGGTGCATGAACGCATGAGTTGCTTCATTTGTCCATACTGCTAAAACTGTATATATATATATATATATTGTTTAATGGCTCTGTGCATTATCTCCTTGAAGCATTACGTGGAAGGGTGACAGTAACATTTGTTGTTGTTTACAGTAACAATTGGTAAGCTAGCTAGCACCAGTTACTATACCCCTGGTTCTATACACTCTCACCGCATTACAAGTTTATCATCTTGATATGTATTAACTCATAAAATCCCAAAGAACATCCTTTCCTTTAATTAACACAACTGTTAATGTTAAGGTTAAAATGGACTTAATTCTCATAATTTACTGCTATGAACACAATGAGTAAAATGTATCTTACTTTAAAACAGAAAACATTTTATTATCAAAATTGGAGATAATGTAATTTTGTAGTTCAATAAACTGTGCAAATATCCCCATGGTCTTCTAAATGCACTATACTCTCTGCAGTAGAGAAATTATATTGTGAGAAGGCGACTAAAAATCTGGCAGCTATACTTCCTTATTTACGGTATTAACAAATATACACACATTATTTTTAACACATCTGTAGTAACTAGTACTTGGCAGAGGGTTTGTTTAACACTTAATCGTTTTACAGAAAATTAATCAGCAACAACTGATAATTAACCATTTAAGTCGTGCTTTAAGCTAAACATTTAATTATGTGGTTTTCTGTGTTATTAAATATGATTATGTTTGGGTTTTGGAAGTTGTGGTGAACTTTTTTGACATTTAATACAATACATAGTTAATCACATAAACAAGAAACAGTTGGGAGATTAACATATTTTTAAAAATGTTATTACAATGAGTTTCATTTGGGTTAGGATACACAGTATCCAGATCTCTCTCGGACTGTAAATTTTTTATATTGGAGTTTGGTGCATGGCATGTTAGCTCATATGCTGGCTGTTTTCCTCTCACAGCGCCATGCTACGACTGCCAACCATCGGCCGAGCTTTAGCCGGAGCCGCCAAGGGCAGCCTGTCTCCCTCCAACACTAGTAAGGGTTTGTCTGTCTAGTAGCCACAATATTCTCTGTACTGTAATTGAGCAGGGTCTTGGTGTATGTGTGTATATTTTTTTTTATTATGCTGGCATATGGATGTAAAATCACTCATTCTAGTACAACTTTCATTAGTGTTGTTTCATGTCTTATGTGGAAATTATTGTATTTTCTGTATTTCAGACACTATGGTCTGGTTAGTTTCCATTATACTTACAGTGTGCAGTGTATTTTTTGAGTTTATGGTAAAATCTTGAGTATAAGTATATACCTGCAGCAAGTATCTTATTTGTATAACTAATGTTTTGAAAGGAAAATGTTAGTTTTTGTTAGCAGATAGTCTTGATGAACTACATGTCAGGTTGGTTTTAGGTTATTTCTAGTAAATTTGGCCTTTGTGTACTTTGTTTCAGTGCGTACTCCAGTGCGTGCTGCCAGCAATATGGTGGAAGTGTTTGTGGATGGGAAACCAGTGGAGGTGGAGCCTGGAACTACCGTACTGCAGGTAAGAAACATCAGATAATTGTTCTGCAAAGTAATACTGATGTTTCATACATTCCCTTCCTGCTGCCGATTGTTGTGTCCGTGTGTGTTTAACATTTGGCTCTTTTTGGGGTTCTTTATGCTCTTCTGCTTAAAATGTACACATTTCAGGAACATGAATAAAAATAGAGGATGTTATTAATTGATTTATCAAAGAGTGTAATTTGACAAGTATCCACATATTATTGTAGTTCCACTAACTTATGGATGTGTATTTTACATCAAAGACCAGTCTACTGTATTGTAAAGTAAACTGATCAGGGTGATGTCTATTTGCCTATCAGGCATGTGAGAAGGCGGGAATCCAGATACCCAGGTTCTGTTACCATGAGCGTCTCTCAGTGGCAGGAAACTGCCGTATGTGTCTGGTTGAGATTGAAAAAGCTCCAAAGGTAATAATGCAGCTGACTTGATGCTTTAGTATAGACACTGCTGTAAATTCTTGCTGTATTAATGTCTAAGTGGTGTGTGTGTTTGTGTGCTGTCATGTGCTGTCAGCCTGTAGCAGCCTGTGCCATGCCCGTTATGAAGGGTTGGAACATCCTCACCAACTCAGAGAAGACACGTAAAGCCAGGTACAGAGTCTGTGGTCAACATATGATTCTGTCCCAGTATGTCTGAAACTCTAGGCAAAGTATTGTAAAGGCTGAAAAAAAGTGTGTGTCCTCAGAGAGGGAGTAATGGAGTTCCTGTTGGCCAATCACCCACTGGACTGCCCCATTTGTGATCAGGGAGGAGAGTGTGATCTGCAGGTAAATAGAAAAAAGTTTTGGAAGGGTAAAGCTTCAGTTCACCCCAAAAAACATACTTTCATTTATCCCTAGTTGTATCTAGCCATGGTGCTCAGACAACAGCTGCTGCATGACCATGATACAATGGCAAATGGAATAAAGTTTGTAGTGCTGGACGTGTTAAATTATTACATTTCTGTGGACAGTCTTCATGTTTTCCTTGTTTAACTCCCTGCCCTCTGTGTTCCCAGGATCAGTCTATGCAGTTTGGTTCAGACCGCAGTCGTTTCACAGAAGGAAAGAGAGCAGTGGAGGACAAGAACATCGGGCCACTCATCAAAACCATCATGACCCGCTGCATCCAGTGCACACGCTGCGTCCGGTGAGTGCGTCATAAACATCCTCATTTATATCTATCAGGAATAATGTGGTGTCATTTCAGGTAACTACAAATGTGTTGAAATGTTGTTTGTCCTCCCCTAACAGCACATTCATGCATTCCTCTGTGTGTGTGTGTGTGTGTGTGTGTGTGTGTGTGTGTGTCTGTGTGTCTATCTGCAGTTTTGCCAGTGAGATTGCAGGTGTTGAAGACCTGGGAACAACAGGAAGAGGAAACAACCTGCAGATTGGGACGTATGTAGAGAAGATGTTCATGTCAGAGCTGTCGGGCAACGTTATTGATATCTGTCCTGTGGGAGCGCTCACCTCCAAACCCTATGCTTTCACTTCACGACCATGGGAGACCAGGTAGGAAAGGGTCTGATAGCTGAGTTAAGCTAGTAGACTAACTCCTGTTATATAAAACCAGAGCACACAGTTGCTGGTTACATTTCTTGAACTTCTAAAGTGAGGTAAAGTCCTTTTAGTTAATGAGCATGCTCATCTTTGACTGATTTTATCTTCATCTTTTGCTGTCTTTGCAGAAAAACAGAGTCTATTGATGTGTTGGATGCTGTGGGCAGTAACATCGTGTTGAGCACAAGAGGAGGCGAGGTGATGAGGGTGCTTCCCAGGCTGAATGAAGACATCAATGAAGAGTGGATCTCTGACAAGACCAGGTTGGACACAGACAGAAAACATTATCACATTTTAGTTTGAGTTAAATCAGTATTCTGTAAAAGTGAGTGCTCGATTATGGTTAAAACATCAGATTTTACTTAATTCATACTTACAAGTTATATTTGTTGCTAACTTGTCTAAAGAGATGTGCCCAAAATGTGTGTCCTCAGGTTTGCATATGATGGTCTGAAGAGACAGAGGCTGACCCAGCCATTGGTGAAGGATGACTCAGGTCAGCTGATCCCCACCACCTGGGAGGATGCTCTCAGTCGTGTTGCTGGAGCAGTAAGTGTGTGTCAAAACTATCTAGAAGACTAGATAGTTTTGTCTTGCTTATGCAATCAAATGTGTCTGTGTGACAGCTGCGACATCCCTAAATGTGTGTGTGTAGCTGCAGAGCGTGCAGGGTGGTGAGGTAGCAGCCATAGCAGGAGGAATGGCCGATGCTGAAGCTCTGGTCTCCCTCAAAGATCTCCTCAACAGGCTCAACTCAGAAAACCTCTGCACTGAGGAGGTCTTCCCCATGTCGGGAGCAGGGTAAGTCTGTTGCTGTGCTGTCTTGTCTTGTAATTGGTCTTGTTCTTAGGTATTTTGATTTGTTCTCAGGGATTAATTGTGGAAGGATCATTCTTGTTCTTGATTGCCTATCAAATACTATATTCTGTTTGGTTTTAGGTACTTTGGAATTTGTTTCTCAAGATATGTGTGTGGTGTTTGTTTTTATGGTGTTTTGTTGCTGCTCTCTATTGCTGCTGGAACACAGGAATTTCCCCTTTATTGTGGGATCAATCAAGTCCTACCTACCTAATGATTCTGTGCATGAAAGATGCAAGAATGCAAAAACGTGTGTGATGTACAAAGTCTGCACAGTCTCTCCAGGTGTGTGTGTCACTGACTTTATGCTGTGCTTTCCTTGTTCTCTCTGCAGCACTGACCTGCGCTCCAACTACCTGTTGAACTCCCGCATCACCGGCATTGAGGAGTGTGACGTGCTGCTGCTCATAGGAACCAATCCACGCTATGAAGCCCCGATGTTCAATGCCCGAATCCGCAAGAGGTACAGTCCTACGTCACACTTTAAAGTCAGTATTTAATTTCCTCTTGTACGTCACAGCCAGCACAGGCTGTGACAGTCTTTCTGCTTGCATTATTAAGTCATTTGTTTGCATGTTATTTGATGGACTGTCAGTTTGTCGTTCACTCGGTCACATAATTGTACATGTAACCTCCAACCTCCATCAGCTGGCTCCATAATGAGCTGCGTGTTGCCTTAGTGGGTCACAACGTTGACCTCAGTTATTCATACGACCACCTGGGCCAAGAGACTTCAGTGCTGAAGGAGCTGGCTAATGGCACACACCCCTTCTGTCAGGTAACAGACACACACACGTGAACTGATGTGTTTGTTTTCCATTGAATTCCAAGTAATATTTATTTGAAGTTTGGTTTCATTTCCTGTCCCTGTGTCCAGGTGCTTTCAGCTGCTAAGCATCCAGTAGTGGTTGTGGGCAGCAGCGCTCTGCAGAGAGAAGATGGAGCTGCCATTTTGAGTGCTGTCTCCACAATTGCACAGAATGCCAGAACTAGCAGTGGAGTGGAGGAGGGATGGAAAGTCCTCAATGTACTGCACAGGTACAGCTTGGCAGTGATGTTTCTTGTAGATTTAAGCTGCTGTGATCTGCTTTTTTGCTTTGAACATGCATAACATTAGGGGGGATTTAATACATAGTTGGCCTTTGAGTGAAGAACAGTAGGTTTCCCCTGTTCATACTTTGTGTGTGTTACCAGAGTGGCCAGTCAGGTGGCTGCCTTGGACCTGGGCTACAAGGCCGGAGTGGACGCCATCAGGAAGAATCCTCCCAAAGTCCTGTACCTGCTGGGAGCTGATGGTGGCTGCATCAGCAGAGTCGATCTGCCTAAAGACAGCCTCATCATCTACCAGGGTACACATACGTGCCACAATGCATACACATATTTGATAGAAAACATGAGAGCAAAAGTCAAAATGTTCTTCTGAGAATATACTCATTTTCATTCTCTCCAGGTCACCATGGTGATGTGGGAGCCTCAATGGCAGACATCATTCTGCCTGGTGCTGCCTATACAGAGAAATACGCTACCTATGTCAACACTGAAGGCAGGAGCCAACACACCAGGGTGGCTGTCTCCCCTCCTGGAATGGCCAGAGATGACTGGAAGATCCTCAGAGCTGTATCTGAAGTAAGCAGGAAGTCCCCCACATGTTCATATTGCTAATTAACACTCAGTTATTGAAAGAAATGCCTTTGTGTGTTTGCAGCTGGCTGGTGTGACGCTACCCTACGACTCTCTGGACGAGGTCCGATCCAGACTCGCTGAGGTGTCTCCTAATTTGGTCCGCTACGACGATGTAGAGGAGGCAAACTACTTCAGACAAGCCAATGAACTTGCCAAGGTACAGACACACATGCTGGAGACAGGGCTTTTCACACAAAAGCTGTATCACAGGAGGCAGGTGGCATTTTTTTGATGGAGCTCTGTTCTTATCAGGCTGTGAAGCAGGACCTCCTAGCAGCTCCTCTGGTACCACTTCAGCTTGCAATAAAGGACTTCTACATGACAGGTAAGTGTGTTTTAGAAGTGGCACAGGTAAAAATCCAAATATAAAATGAATTTCTCATACCCACAACCTGTCTGTGTTCAGACTCCATCAGCAGGGCCTCTCAGACGATGGCCAAATGTGTCAAAGCCGCGACAGAAGGAGCTGCTGCTGTTGATGAGCCGTCGGTTTGCTGAACACCCACATACAGACAGTGTCGCTGCTTAATTTAAAGTTGTACTTGATGCTTGTTATACACAGTTAAGTCATTTTCATTGAATGTAGCTCAGAGACATGTGAATAAAATATTTACTGCCTTTATTCCATTTTGAGTGGGTCTCTTTATAGTCTTGTTTGTGTTTTTGGTGAAGGCCCCCAAGTCATTGATGGTGTGCACAAAGCTGAATATCTTATTTTTAACTGACTACCTGAGATTCTGATCTTTTCATTGACTTCCCCTCATCTATTTGTGTGTAGCATCCAGACATACAAACATGATTAGATGTGCTAACATTGTTTTGTGAATCAGGTTGTGGAGTGAATTCAGTGCTCTGTAATTTCATTGCCATCAAAGGGTCAAAAAGAATAAATTAAGAGCATAAATGAAGGGCAATAATGGATTAAACTCCATTTTACTGTTAGTCACATGGTCTCGGGTACATGTAGTCATCACTGCTCTGAACAATGTGATCTGATAAGAAGGTGCAAACTTTAGAAATGCCTCTGAGGTCTTTTCAGGTTTGAGATGCTAAGACTCGCTTTACTCTCACAGGAGTTGATGCTGATCTCTTTATCAGTGTTTGACTTTTTTAACTGTGGACATTCAGTGTCTGCTTGTAGTGAGCTGGGAGAAACATTTTTGGATTTGGGGGGGTGATACCTTCAATTCAGGATTAGTGATCACTCAAGAGTCCCTAAAAGTATTTGTGCCTTGATCAAGATTCAGAAACCGGTTCCTGGACTTGGACACAGTTCCCCTGGATAAATGGCTCTTGTCATATATTGTTCCCTAATAGAGAGAGACAGCTCTTAAACGAAAACGTAAGCAGAGAGACACATGCTTACACATGCTCAGAAAAGGAGAGAAGAATCTCTTCACTCCCTGTCTGCTGAGTGTCTGAGGCCGACTTCACTGTTGTACTCCTCTCCATAGCTGGAATTTACTTGTATTTAAAGGTCAGTATTGTATCAGTGTAGCACTAGCTAGTTTCTTTTCCCTTGTAGCACTGTAGATGTTTGCTACTTTTCATTTGTGTTGCTCCACAGTTCTGTGCAATTACATGTAGTTTTGTAATGTGCCTCAGAGTTTACTCAGCCACTGCTCTTCTCTGTAGGGTTTTCATGCAGAGACAAACAGCAGGACAGACAGTGGTCCCAGCAGGAAGATGGTCCCAGTTAAACTTCTCATTCTGGGAGCTCAGAACACTGGAAAAACAGGTAAGCTACAAGCAGAAGGACAAGGCAGACGCACGTAGGCAAGAAGGCAGAGAGACCAAATGTGAACATGTGTGCACATTATGTAACAGCAGCATAGGCTGGACAAACGGTCACATGCTCAGCATGTGGAAGACATTTAAGCAAACGTGAGGTTAAGTCTAGGGTTAAAGTTTGGTCATGGTGTCAGAGGCTTTGCTATATATGGAACCCTTACACAGGTTTAAAGTTGACCTCTCATCCTGAGCACTGAAGTGTTTCCAGCCACTGCTGTCACCTCTGCTGCTATGTTTTAATGACAAACTCCTGCCTGTGTCTAATCATGTCTCCTCTCATTGCTCTGTTTGGACTGTACGGTAATTTGAAACTTGTGCTCATTGTGCATAGTTTAATAAGAGTAATCTGAAGTGAGGGGCTTATGCTGCTGAAAACAAATAAAGAGGACCTCACAACAGGGTCTTGAACAATTATGAGTAAACTCTGGGTCACATCACCTGCACTACAGCAGATGGAGCTGGTCTATTTTGTGCAAGTTAATATGTGCATGGTTGAAGCTATTTGCTAGAATCACCAGGCAGGTAAAAGTGAAAGCTACAGCATGTTCACCCTGTTTATTGCAAGAAAATTCAGTTCTGTTAACAGGACCAGTTTGGAACTGATTCAGCATGCAAAGTAACTCTCATTTAGTTTGATCAGTTTGCAGATGTTTAAGCACATTTCTAAATGTGGTTTAAAAAGTCAATTCACAGTGAAGCTCAGTGGGATTTCATTGCATCTGGAAAGACATGTTTTGAGGCTTTGGGCACCACAAATGAATTTAAATTAGTGTACAGTATACTGGGGGCGGCAGCAGAAATCTCACAGGCAAAGCTATCTGCATGGAAAGATGTATGAGAAAGAGGTAAATAATTAGTTTTAAATCTTGAAAATGAATAAAAACCTGTCTGTAAAGATTCAAACAATCCTAAATAACCTTCTAATGTGTCTTGCATAAAGGAAATACACTGAGCCGCCAAGCAAACGTGAACCCATCCAGACTCCTTCCACCCAAACACAAAGAAAGCACTGGTATCTAAAGAAGGCAGCAAACATTACTAAGAGGTTAATTCTCAAAACAAGGATGACATGACACATGAACATGCAGCAGAGCAGATACAGACTTCATGTTTGTGAATGCACAGTATGTAAGAGAAATATGAGTTAGTGTCTCTGGCAGTTCACCCTCTGGTGACCACGTCTGTTTTGTGTCTCCAGCGCTGTGTGTGCGTTTCATAACCAAACGCTTCATCGGTGAATACGACCATAAAAAGGGTAAGGCTGCAGGAAGGGTTTGTTACAAAACATTGTTGATATGGAAAAATAGCTCAACCCATTACTTATGTTTCATTCTACCTCTAACCTAATGAATCAAATAAGTCCAAAGTGTCTGTATCACTGTGCCACAGAAGTGACCTACAGATGCAGTCGGGTGGTCGACCAGGAGGCTGTAGATCTGGAGATTTTGGACATAGCTTGTAAGGTAGATTATGACTGATATTAATATCTTGGTATACAGGAAACATGTTTCTATCAGCATTAACGGTAGATTATGACTGATATTAATATCTTTGTATACAGGAAACATGTTTCTATAGTATCAGCATTAATACATTTGATAATCTAGCTCTTGGAAAAAAAAAAGCAAATATGTCAGATGTGTTATGTTTGCGGTCAAATAAGAATGTTACTTTATGAGCACACATGACCTTATCCCCTCTAGGAGAGCTCTCTGGATTCTTCTATCCACTGGGCTGATGGCTTCCTGCTGCTCTACTCCATCACCCAACGCTGCAGCTTCCAGGAGGTGCCGCGACTCAAAAAACTCATCGACCAAACCAAACAAAGTCTGGGTAGGGAGCTCATTAGCCAAAGGAACGTTGAGAGAAAGGTGCAAGGTCTCTGCTGTATCAGGACATGCTGAGTGTCCTGTCTCGTCTTTTTCTGTGTTACCTCTAGGTGTTAACACATCTCAGTTTTGGGAGGAGATCTGTACACAGACGTCTCTACACAGGAAATGCAATCTCTGTTAGTGACAGTCCAGTACTGTGTGTAAAAATGACCAAACTCAGACAATATACTGGTTAAATCAGTGGTATGATCTCCAGAGGACCAGTGTGTTCACTATGTTTGCTCTTAAAGTGCAGTGAGTCTTTGTTGTGACTGTGTGTGTGTGTGTGTGTGTGTGTGTGTGTGTGTGTGTGCGCGCGCATCAGTTGTCCCTACAGTGCTGGTAGCGAATAAAGCTGACCTGGAAATAGGGAGGGAGGTGACAACAGAGGAAGGACAGAGAATGGCCAAAGACTTAAGGTTTGTGTGCATGTGATTGCATGGCAGCGTTGTAGTCGATTCACTAACCCTCGAGTCCAAGCTGAGTCCCTGTTACCAAGTCTGATTTATCAGGGTCTACATTACACACAGCTGACACAGCTCACATTTTAAAAAGTTTACTTACTGTGTGTGTCACAACAGCCAAACAAATGCACTCATAAGCGCACACACATACACATGCACACTACTCAGTGATGAGTGTGACTTTATTTTCATAGGCAGAGTGAACACTTCGATGCATGTGTGCCGGATACAGCATGGTGCAGGCAGAGAGGTTCTAATATCAGTATCTTATACCAAATTATTATGGCCTATTAAAAAACAAAGTCTGAGTCTGAATGCAGTTTGAGTCCAAGTCGAGTCACAAGGCCTGAAATCAGGACTCGAGTCGGACTCGAGTTCCAGTCCTGGACTTGAGTACTATAAGACAGTACTATAAGACAGTTGCATGGTTGTACTGTATTCATCAGTTTGTTCTAATACAAACCTTTAATTTCTCTTGTATATTTTAAAATTGTGCTTTAGTGTTTTACAACAGTTTGGTTATTGTTCCTTTAGAATATGACATTTGAAACTGGTGCTAAACATTATTACTGTTACTCTGAAAATAATATTACGAAAAGAAGAAACCTCTGCTCAGTTTGAGCTAACTTACATATACTGCATATAAAGTTTACTATGTTAGGTAAATACTGGTGCCTTGTATTTGTGTTACATTCATGATTTGTGTGTGTGTGTGTGCACAGGTGTGGCTTCAGGGAGTTATCTGTAGCAGAAGCAGTTTTAGCTGTGGAAGCAGCTGTGCTTCAACTCATTAGGTGTGTTTCAGCTGCTTTATGTCTGACTTCACACAGTTTGAAGTAACTGACATACTAGTGCTTTGCTCTTCATCGAGTTATTTTTTTAAATAGAACAACAAGTGTCACACAGGCTCCATGCTAACAACATAATCTGCAGCTCAACTATGACTGAGAATGCTACATTAAGTGTATTCAAAACGATCTGTGTGCAGACTTTAAAAACTTGAGAAAGTCTTCTTTTATGTGAAGTTTAACCGGCAGGTTTAAAGTCTATGTATAATTTCCAGTAAAACACAGATTTCTTCCTTAAATCTTCCTCAGTCTAGCTGTTGATCATGTGTTGTTTTATTTGGCTGCTGGTGAAGTTCTGTTTACTGTGTCTACCAGGCTGGTGCTGGACCAGCAGCATCCTCTTCCTGACCGCCGCTCCTACATGCTGAGTGTTCGCCACGCTCTGACCAGGAAACTGACCCGATCGAAGACCATGCAGTGGTGACTGCAGCAAAAAAAAAATGTTCACCAGGTGCTGGTACATTTGAAAAAACAGCATGTGCTGCCTGTTCTAACTGCACTACAGTTTTACTTCTGGAGGGTTGTTATTGCAGCACTGTTGATCTTTTCTGGTTTCATGAGGGTTAGGCATAGGATTGTGCAAGAAATCTTAATGTTTTGCTACTCACACCAAATCAGTATAAATCAAGGTGACTTTTTCATGTGAGTTTGCTTAAACTGGTCAAACATACTGGGAACAAGAGCACATACTGTGACCAGCTGAAGTTTGCAGTTTGGTGATATTGCTGCCCAGTTCCAGCTCAGCCAGAAGCAATCTAGAAAATGCTGGAAGGAGAAATAATGTGTCAGCAACTAAAGATTTGGGGTGAGCTCCAATACTTCAGCTCCTCTCATCCTCTGTAACAGCAGCAGGCTGTTTAATAGGGCTGAACAAGAGTCCAGGGGAAAACCGCTTGATATGTGGGAAGATCGATATATTTCCAAGGACATGGGTCCATTTTTGAACTGTAGGGTAGAAATGCACAATTAAAATAACTTGAAGCACAAATAAAATGTCTCTTACTACAGTCTGTTGCACGTATGTTTTTATGATCATGATTAAACAGTGGATAAGTGGGTTAAACACTCAGTCACATGCATTAAAGTACAATCAATCACTGTACACTCACAGGAATTTGCCCTAGTTTGTTATGGCTTTCACTGTCCAGTAGGGGGCAGTGCAGTCGTTCCATCTGGTGCAAGATGCCTCAACGTATGTGACCAAAGGTACAGTATGTGGATGCCTGTGAAAGAAGAGCCTGCAGAGAGGCCTGACTTCAACCCCTCTGTAAAGCCCACCCTGATCAGTGGTGGCTGTTGTAGCAGCAGCTTAATGGATTAAGAATCACATTCAGGTTAAATTTAACAGTAACACAAAAATGTAAATGTCAATCAAAGACCCGTCAGTGTGTTTGTAAAAGAGTTAAGCTTGTCCTCGCTCTATCAGTGTAGAATGTTTAACAGTGGGTAAAGAATGAGGCTGGCTTTGATTACAGCCTTGGCTTCTTTCAGTGCAGTTTCTGTGTTTCTCCCTGTGTATCCCCCCCATCTCCTCATTGCTCACTGAACTTCTGAACTTTGCAATAAGTGAAAGACATCTGATAAAAAGAGGAAGACGAAGGAGCAACAGAGTGGGTGACAGGAATAAGACTAAGAAAACATTGAACTTCTTTGGCCTCTTATTTGTCTGCAAGGAGCAACAAAAGGAAAAGATGAATAGGAGCTGCGCTGAGTCTGACTGCACTGTGTGCACTGTCTACTCTGTCTCTTTTGGGAACCTGACTGTCTATAGCCACCCTGTCCACCCAAGAATGTTTTCAATTAGATTTTCTTGATATATCTCATTTTTGATGCTCTAATCCTGGCTTTCAGTGTATTTGCATTCTGTAATTCTCACTGGTTAATAAATTTGCATTGTTATTGGCAGAGTCTACCTTTCTGCATACAGATTTAAAATTATATGATGTGTGCATATACTGGATACTGGAGGTAATGTAGAATACAAAAAGAAAAAAGATGATGTCTGCACGAGTTTCACTTTGTTGTTCACATATCATTTTGAACAGAACTGTATTAGGCTATTAAAACTAAGGTTTGGTTGCATTTACAGTGGGTACGGAAAGTATTCAGACCCCCTTAAATTTTTCACTCTGTTATATTGCAGCCATTTGCTAAAATCATTTAAGTTCATTTTTTCCTCATTAATGTACACACAGCACCCCATATTGACAGAAAAACACAGAATTTTTGACATTTTTGCAGATTTATTAAAAAAGAAAAACTGAAATATCACATGGTCA